AGTTGTACATTTTTGCTGACTTAACTTGGTCTTTCCACCTCATTTGTTTTTCCAGTGGTTATTTGTTCGGTGCCTTTATTCTTCTGTTGTCTGAGGAATCCTATTGTAATTTGTGTGTAATGCATGTCCATACCACTATGCCCTTAATTTGACCAACTTCTCATGTTGTTACTTTCATGACTCACCTTTTGGCGCATTAATTAGATAAATTAAGTAACAATAAGCAACATTTATTTACGACAACTGGCCTAAGGATTTGATCCACTCATGTACATAATTTGTAGTGGACACCATGGCCACTTGTGTTTAAATGTTGTGTACATCTTTATTTAGGATTAGCCCTTACCTGCATGAACGCTTCTCATCAGCTTTTGATGCCCAGTCTGTACGGCTGGTCTCAGTCAAGGGCAACCACTTTGTATTGGTAAACAGCATGGCAATGGAAGGGGATGGCTGTTTCTTGTGCCGTCCAGCGGAGTTACAGCTGCAGAAAATTTCAAGTGAGTGGCCTATGACTCTGTGAAGAGAGAAGTGTTATATAATATTATTTTTGAATTTTGTATACCAAAGAAGCTAGTGAGTCTAATAAAAATGTGCTTAAATGAAACCTGTAGCAAAATTCGAGTAGGTAAATATGTATCTGAGACATTCTTCATCAAGAACGGTCTAAAACAAGGAGATGCTTTGTCTCCCTTGCTCTTTAACTTCGCGCTAGAATATGCCATCAGGAAAGTCCAAGATAGGCAGGAGGGTTTGCAATTGAATGGGACACATCAGCTATTGGCATATGCTGATGATGTTAATTTATTGGGGGACGATATGAATACAATAAAGAGGAACGCAGAAGTTTTACTAGAGGCTAGTAGACAGGTGGGGCTAGAAGTAAATTCAGAAAAAATGAAGTACATGTTAGTATCTCGTCATCAGAAGACAGGTGGGCAAAATTATCTTAGGGTAGCTAATAAGTCCTTTGAAAGGGTTACAAAGTTCAAATATCTGGGAACAACAATAACAAATCAAAATGACACTCATGAGGAAGTTAGGAAGAGATTAAATTCTGGAAATACTTGCTACTTCTCCGTCCAAAATATTTTGTCTTCCTGTCTGATTTCTAAGAACCTGAAAATTAAAGTGTACAAAACAATAATCTTGCCTGTTGTTTTGTATGGGTGTGAAACATGGTCTCTCACTCAGAGGGAGAAACACAGATTGCAGGTGTTTGAGAACAGGGTGTTGAGGAGGATATTTGGACCTAAGAGGGAAGACGATGGGGCGTGGAGAAAACTGCATAATGATGAGCTTAAAAATCTGTACTCCTCCCCCAGTATTGTCAAGGTGATTAAGTCGAGAAGAATGAGATGTACTGGGCATGTAGCACACATTGATGGGACAAGAGGTGTGCACCGGGTACTGGTTGGGAAACCTGAAGGGAAGAGACCGCTGGGGAGACCTAGATGTAGATGGGAGGATAATCTCGGGCGGGATCTATGGGAGATAGGAGTTGAAGGAAACTGGATTTTGTTGGCCCAGGACAGGGTGCGGTGGAGGGCTTTGGTTAATTCGGTGATGAACCTTTGGGTTCGCTAAGCCATCTAGTTAGTTAGTTAGTTAGTGGCCTTCCATTATAGAAAAGTATGAGATGTACTTCTAGCAGTAAAAATGACAGCTGCTGTTGATTGTGTGATCAGAATTAGATTCTGTGTAGGGGCTTTGGAACTTCTCTCATCATACCCAGAACAGCTCTGGGGTCTGTTCGGCCTATATTCCAGTGGTGTCTATTTCCAAGGATAAGGGCCTCAAATCTTGCAACAAGAATCATAATAATTGTGCTAGTTGTTTATTTTAGTTTTTAGAGTATTCTATTAAATGTTACAGGATTATAGTGACTGACGCAATCAAAGACACACGAATGGCATCTGCTTTATGCTTGAAGTCATTGAATACTTTGTGCACTAGCTGTTTGAATCTAATTGGCTCATGAAGGCAAATGACAGTAGATGTGCAGAAGCATCCAAAACCCAGCTGCCCTCATTCATGTCAATCACATTCAGATGTGATGAGTCAAGAACTGTGAAATTGTGATCTTCTGGGTTAAGATGTTGTGGTTACCAGATTTTGGAGGACTTTTGCTTGTACTGTCTTCAGCAGCCTTTATTTTTATTTGTCACCAGTGTTTCACTAAAATTGATGCAGTAAGACTGAAATGCTTATGTCAGAATAAATGACAAATGTGAATAATAGTTGTTGGTAGCTAATAAAAGTGAAATAATTGCAGGCTATGAGGTTAGCATAGGACACATGAATTTTGGAGGAATTTGTCTTCTCTGTTAAAGATGTATAGGTGCCTTTAAAAAGTTGGTATAAGAATATGGAGCATTGCAGCCTAGAAGACCACAGTCCTAATTCTTATTGACATGTAATATCTATGTTTGTATGCATTCTTTCAAGAAGTGCATAAAGTGGAGACTGTCTGTGCATTTTATTCTTGAAACTATAAATTGTGTTTTTCTTAGGATTTGTGCTGAAAATTTGTGTACTTTGGAGTTCAACTTTCAACAGAATGACATCTGTTCTATAATACTGTAATTAATTTTGCAGGAAGGTTGAAGTGTACGAATGGAGTGGGCAGATGCGATCGAGGCATGGATCTCACCCAGTACAGTCGCCCCATTTTACTACAGGTCTGTATTATTGTCTTTTAAAACTGAGTTTAATGTTTGAATTTTGTATGTATATGTGTTTAGTTGTCACTGTACCATCAGACACCAATAAAATGTGTTACAAAGTTTCCAGTGAAAACAGACTTTAATAATTTACACTATTAAGGAAAGAAAAGTGGTACTATCCCTAGAATTTAACCACCTCCCTTGTTATTTTATTTTAACTCTGGTTTAAAATGTTGCTCCACATATAGTACCTTGAGTTGACCACACAGCTAACTAACTAACAAACTAGATGGCTTAGGGAACCCGAAGGTTCATCACGGAACTAACCAAAGCCCTCCACCAGTCCCTGTCCTGGTCCAGCAAAATCCAGTTGCCTTCAACTCCTATCTCCCATAGATTCCACCTGATATCATCCTCCCATCTATGTCTAGGTCTCCCCAGTTCCCTCAGGCTTCCTGACCAATAACCGGTGCACACCTCTTGCCCCATCAATTCATGCCACATGCCCCACACATCTCATTCTTCTTTACTTGGTCACCCTGACAAAGTTGGGGGAGGAGTACAAATTGTAATTGTCACTTAATTCTTCTTAGGTGCAAATGAGGTAACTGCTTTGCATATGGAAGCAACACTGTAGAGGGTAGTGTTTCTAATATTTTTAACTTTCCTTATAGCATTTCCCAATGTACCGGGAGTCAGATGCTGAATGCAGCGAACCTGACCAAGCACCCAAGGATGAGAAGACGCAGAAATTTCGTGAGCGGTGGGAGTGCGTCTCGAAAGAATCTTCAGAACAGGTTTGTTCCTGTCTATGAATAAAATACGTCACTATATTTGTGTTCAGGAGGTACCTGGTATGAATTTTTGAATGGGATACTGGTTATCCTGATTGAGATGTTTTCATTGTTTTCTTCAGACTTACCAGCACACTGATAAACACCTTCAGGTATACCATTATTGTCTCCTTCCATATCCTTACCTAGTCACCTCTTGTGACAATACTGTAACAGCTGCAGAGATTATGCAGTTTGATGCTGTATAATCTCTGTGTCTAAAACAGTACTGTTAAATAACTGAGAATGAATCAGTCAGCCAAGTTGTGTTATACATACTTTTGTTCTATTGTACTGTGACAATGATGTGGTTTGTAGCTGTTGGATATCTTGAAGCCTCGTCTTATTGTGACTGGTCACACACATCATGGCTGTCATCGTACACACAGAGAAGACATTCATGAGTGGACTCTCCCATCATTCAGTTGGAGAAATAAGGACAATCCTAGTTTCATGCTAGTAAGTATTGCTTCAGACTATTTAAATGATTAACAGGGCAATGAGTTACTCATTGCTCTGATGATGGAGAAGCAAGGACGTCTGAAACGTCGATAAACTTCTACCATACTACATTGCGCAACAACCCAGAAGACAGCCATCTTCAGAGTAACTGCCATGAAAACCCCAATTCCTACTGACTCTAATTGTAAGATGTCCCTTCATTTTTACAGGGTGCAGGATAAAGAGAATACACAGTTTTCATTGTTTCAAGTATGTCTGTTTTCAAAGCATTCTTTGTACAAAGTACATATGATGATTCTGTAATAGAAAGACTATTTTGTCATCATGTTTTATCTCTGATACTATTTGACAGACTGATGAAATTTGGTGTTTAGGGTCTGTACTAATATTTACATGTTTCTTTTCAGGAATATAATGTTTGAAAATAAGTCTTTGAAGAGGCAATTTATTTTACTGTCACATGTTTAGAAGTGATATGCCATTATTGCTTGGTAGTCTGTCAGTCTATTGTATATGCATTATCCTGTTTTGTACAATTGATGCCAGAGAGAGAATCATTTTATTCACTGACATCAGGGAGTGGAGAAGGCCATTTGTTGAGTTTGTTGAAGTACTGGTGATGGTACCTGTTTGTCTACACCATCAGCTGTTTGATAACTCCTACAAATAATAATATGAAAATATCCAGTGGACTACAGGTGTTGTTTGTGTGGTGTAGCATTGATTTTCTTTCCACAAGGAATTGAGTGCTGTTATTCGCAGCCTGAAATTACAGATTTCGCTATGAGGTTGATTCTGATTGGTGTTGCTGTTACTGTTGTTGTTGTTGCTGTTCATCCTGTTCTTTTTCTTCTTGTTGCTGAGCTGGTAACAGCTGTTCTGCTTTATCTGCTAACATTTCCTGTCCTTCATCCTCTGAAAAGCATTACTGTCACTTTCCAGAAATATTTCAGTTTCTTTAGGATAAAGTTTCTTGGTCAGAACCATAACTAAAAATGACTGACCGTACAGTTAGAGATATTTAGTTTCCTGTCATTGTGAATTGCAGATGAGTAGCAGTGTATATTATATCGTCCTCTTGTATGCTGTATTATTATATTGCCCACACAAGTTTTACAACACATGCTTGTTGTATTAGTATATGATTTTCAGACTAACAGAACTCTTGCCATATTTTTCTTTTGTCCATGTTAGTCACCCACATCTGTTTGCAGCAGTGCCACACGTAGGTTTCCTGAGGTTGGACATTTGCAGTTAAATTCTTTCAGATTAAATTCCCATATTGACTTGAGCAATAATTATTTTCATAGCAGTTAGCATTATTCGGTTGATAAAAAAATTCTGGTATGAATCCTTTAGGTTTATCAGTGTCAACAGAAAAGCCCATTTTTTGAACTTACTTAAAATGGCTGTGGAATTTATATTTGAGTGTTCATTTTTACAGGCAGTGTTCACTCCAAACAACTATGCTGTTTCCAAGTGTGCAATGCCACGGGAGTCCACAGTAATCTGGTTGTACATGTTTGGAGGAGCTCTCTTATTTTTCTGGATAATGCTTACATACCGACGGTTGTGCCGGCATACACGATGGTTTAAGACCAATTAGTTAGCTCTATAATTGCCATCTAAAATGATTTATATATTATTTCTGTTGAAATACCTTGTATGTGACATACATGTTGAAGAGATTATTTTGTCTTGCAAGGTACAGAATTGTAGTAAGAGGAGTGGTGACACTACAGCCTTCTTACATTGCCACAGGAACATGGGATCTTTTAAACATGTAATTTGTAGTGAGGATTTGCGTATCTTTAGTAGAATTTAATTTGGAAGCCATTTGATTGATAGGTTTTTGTATTATGTGAATATTGTGTTATTGCAGTAGCCTGGAGATGTGATCATTGATCCCTTGGGTGTATGCTTTTTTCTGGTACTTCTGGCTAGTCTGGGTTTGAATATTCTGTTGACGTCCTATATGGAGTGGTCATTGGCTTAGAGAACAGACCTAATATGTTGTAGTTCTGGGGCCCAGCTGGCCTTGTCACAGGTGGTGTCTGTTCTGTTTGTCAGGGTGATGATGATGATGGACCTCTTGTGAATTGGTGGGTGGGTGGTGTGATGCTGCCTGCAGGTATCTGTATATATAGGTGGCTTTCCTACAGATGCATGCCCTTGTGAGTTGTTGGGGCGGCAGTTGGCCACACATGAAAGCCAGAGTCATACAATAGTTGAGAAGTTCAGTTCATCTCTGCTGTTATGTGTGCAAAAATGTAACAGGAATTTTGAGGTATGTAAACAATTATGATTTAATTTGATCTCATATTTATAAGATTCTTTAATCATTAATTCTACCACATGCAATTCAAATAGGCATTTAGGCCTCACTAGACAGATTTAATTTTGGACATTTAAATAAAAAATTGCATCCTTACAAAAAATTGTTACATATCTTGTAGACCTCTGCCTTTAAGATTTTGAAATAAAAAGTATCCTCGTAAGAAACAGATTATCCCCCCCCCCAAATTCTTTCTTTTTAAAAAAACAAACAAAAACAAACATTCTTTTATAAAATTAAAATATGTAATTGTAGCAATGCCGCATTTGTACAACAGTGGGCTGTGAAGTATTTGTAAGTTCAGCTTGCATGGTAATCCCCAAAAACATGAATACACACAATCTAAACTCACACTCACACAACAGAAAATTGCAGTTTTGACAATCGATATGGTGTCAAGTCTTCATGCTGTGGTGTTTAATTAAGCACAGAGGGAATTTTAGTTGTGTTTCCTTTTTAACCTAAACTGAAACTTATTTATGTACATTGAGTACACCTCATGATACTAAAAACAGGAACATATAAATTTACTACCGAAGCCCTAAAGCATTTTTTGCACATCACCTTCAAAGCATTTGTTTTTCATTCATGGTGTAATCATGGTATACTTTATCATACCAGCTAATTTCTCTATGTCATGTAATTATTGTGGGCTTCTAACATCAAGCTCAAAAGAAACTTCAGTTTTTGTAGTAAATCATAAAAGAATATGTAATATTTATTATAATGAGCCATATAATTTTTATACATTTTCTATACTGTTTATAAATTGGACTGCAATATTTAGGTTAGACATTGGTATTATAGTATCTTTACTATGAATAACAGCATCAAAATTATACTTTGTTAATGCTTTCATTTTAAGGTTTGTCTCTTAAACAGCATACACTTGTAGATCAAATTTTTACAGGATATAAAACAATTTACTGTTTCCTTAACCTTTCCTGTTAATATCATATCTGTTTCTTGACATGGTTTTATAGGTCATGGGAAATAATTTGAAACTAAAATTGTCCTTACCTCTGTAGCAAAAATATATTTAAATAAATGAAAAGAATGTAACAGTTAAGGATGCACACCATAATGTTTCTTTGAAATATGAGTGCCATTTATAGCCTAAGACTTTGTATTTAAAACAGAGCAGTATGCCAGATGTACTGAGTGCTGGAAGCATCTCTTCAGTATGTGAATAATAATGTAGGTGCAGTAATTTTTACAATTTGTCTGAACATCCAGTTGAGCCATAACATAAACATATTTATCAGGTGCAGAGTTATGCATTGTGACTATAAAATGGTTAAAAATATGGTACTTGACATTTGCATGAATTGTGTCTTGTAGTACAGAGAAATAATTTGAGACCATTATCATTTCTAAAACATGTCTGAGAAAATTTGGCATTACTTTAAATTTATTGCTTTAGCATGGCAAACCACTTCTGTATCACCTGCCTAAAAAACATATGAACAGGACCCAGTCCGAGAAAAGGATGGAAGGATCCTGTTCATAATATGTCGCCAACCTCCTGTAAAGGAGACGGCGTAATAAAGAAGAAGAATGCTTATAGCAGGAGGTTTCATTGAATTTCTTCTGAGATTACAGAATATTATTTTGTGAAAGTAGTAATGTGCTGAGGGGAAAATATTTGTATAGTGTGCTGGAAAAACCATTTTATTTCCATTTTAGACCCAAAATTACACCAAACATGATGATGTGTTGTGTAATTAAATAATTTTATTCATTAACCCTTCAAATTTGATTAACATATGTAGCATGCTAGTTGCTTCACATGTAATTCAGTGCACATAGCGCAGCTCATTTTTTGTTTAAATTAATTTGTTTGGTACAAAATCAGAGGCACATTTGGACTTTCCATTGATCTAAATGTGTAACACATTTTTTGCAATTTCAGCACACAAAAGGTTTATTCCCAACAGTACTGGTAGGTCATGGTATGCTAACTAACTAACTAACTAGATGGCTTACCGAACCAGAAGGTTCATCACCGAATTAACCAAAGCCCTCCATCTGTCCCCTGTCCTGGGCCAACAAAATCCAGTCTCCTTCAACTCCTATCTCCCATAGATCCCGCCTGACATTATCCTCCCATCTACGTCTAGGTCTACCCAGTGGTCTTTTCCCCGCAGGCTTCCCAACCAATACCTGGTGCTAGTATATTTATTACTATTGTGCATCTGATTTGTTCAGATATCCTTGTATTGCAGTTATAAATCTGCTGTTCTCGAGCCTAATTCAGCATTGAGGGAGACTGGCGTAAAATGAACATGGGTAAAATGACTGTCAGTTTTTAAATTTAGCATAATTTGGTTGGTTATGTTGGTACTCAACTCCAGTGAAAGATGGCGTATTTCTAGAGCGCGGTTTTGAACCTTTGTGCGTAGAAGTATGTTTTATGATGTTTCTCTTACGTTTTTAAAGTCACAGTTTTATCAGAATTACCAGTCTGCGATTTTTTATCAGATTATTGAAACAGATATCAGCTGAATACTTGGGAAGTAAACCGTAATTACTAATAATTGTGCCCATCAGTGTTGTGCTTTTCATGATATGTTGTGGAAAACAAGTGCAGCCAACTGTGGGTTAAATGATACACCAGGTAAGTATGCCAGTTTTGTACACAGACCTAAATGGCACAGAGTAATTTCTTGTGACATTCGATATCGTTTCTTACTAATGCTTGATTTATGGCTTTCGAATTGTATTATGAAAATGTTAACTTTTGCTATGCTGTAAACTTGATTGTGTGTGTGTGTGTTTTTCATTTATTTTTGTAATATGTTACTGTTACTGTGTTACATTGCTTTGTTTTATATTTAGCTACTCTGTGATTGATGATACTCTGTGTTTAATATGGTGTTTATTGTTATAAATTACACGTTTTGTAATCTTTATTGGTAATCATACTTCAAGAGAAGAGTGAAAATTACCATTTTACCAAAGGCCTTGGGCTTAAATGATAACTTGATATTTCTTCAAAAAAGCGTACAACTATGGTTTCAGAGGTTAATGCTAATACTTTAAACCTATTTATATCTATAGTATGTCATTTTAGGCCAATCTCCGCTACAGGTATTTCAATATACAGAACAACAGATTTATTGCTGATAAGAGACTGTTGAGAGTTGTATGGCACAGAGACGTGAATTACTCAAGAACTCCAAGCAGTCCTTATTGAGGAGCTAGCAGTTACTCAGCTAGTCAAATCTTCCGGCTTTTATTGAACACAAAACTGTCATTTCCGTGTTCTCAATAGCCCACCAGTGGTCGCTATCTTCAGTCAGATAAATCCAGTCTTTAAAATTTTATTTATTAAACATCCATTTTTATGTTGTCCGAAACAGTTTTGTCACTATTACTTTTGACAGCGCAGAGCAGGCCTGTTTGTAAAAATAGACAACTGATCGATTTACTATGCGGTTCGCGAAATCTTTGTCACAGTATAAATTTAATCGGTGTCTGTGGTGGTGACTAGTTCTTTTCGGTCTGAAGGTTGCCTGGCTAGTGTTCATTGCACACCACAGCGGGAAATATCTGGTGAAAGGGGTATCTTGTTTCACACTTTTTTGTGTCTGTGTTGTGTTGCACAAGGTCCCATTTTGAAGAATAAAAAGAATATATAAAAGTTGGGGCATTTTGCTATTGCTACGAATATTAAATTAAGAATATTTTATTTGCCTATTTATCTAAAATCTTAAAGATAAAAACACATATCAAAATTTATATATTCTGTGTGGGAACAAAATTTCATCTGTCACTCTAAGGAAGAACATAGACTAAAGGTCGTCTGAGAAATTTTGAGGAGAGAATTTAGATCCGAAAATATTTATTTTCGGGAGGATAGGGAAAATTGCATAATGAGGAGCATCATGTTACGTTGCTGACTTAATTAATAAGTAGGATGAAACGGATGGACCGTTCATGTCAACTGTGGTAGCCCGGTTAAAGGTCTTACTCTTGTGGATCACCGGTACTCTTTGCACTGGAACACAACAGAACCGATCGGATAAAATGAATAGTTTACCAGCTCCAGCCCGTCCATCGGTTTCTATTTTTGTGAATTTTGTTGAAGAGGTTAAGGACAGGTGTACGAAACAGCTGTGATTAGATGTAGTTTGTGACGACAGATGGCAGTGTTCGGTGCGACGAGGGTTTCCCTTTTTGCATTACGTAAGGGCACGGCCAACGAAATATTATCTTGTCTCATCTGTACGATAGGTTGGCCGCAACCAACCCGACCCTTGTCCCAAGGTCGTTAAGGTCTTGGTTTCTGGCTCTGTTTTTTCCCGACAGTCTAGTGTTTATGCTCGCTTTAATAAAGGCAAAATATGAATGGAGAACTACAATGTATGACGTATGGAGATGCAGTGGTTTATGGCTTGGAATTCTACATGTCCGTCGTGATCGTGTGAATCTTTGCAACAGAGCAATACATTATTCGAAGTCATCCAATGTCGCGGATTCTCTAATTTGTTGATTGTGTTGGGGCCTTGATGTATTCGCTTGTTTAGTACAGTGATCGCAAAATAAATCCGAGCTTTGTTCACCGTTACAAATGCACAAGTGGGCGGGAGGGGAAGAACGCGACATAATTGTGTTTTGTATCCTTTTGTTAAAAATACAGTGTAGTGTAAAAGTCAGTGTGTCAAAGTGCCACTGATTGTGCCGGAATTAAAAGGGGAAAATGTTTCCAGCAAAACTGTACTTGCGCAGACAGACGCTTGCCCCTCTTTATCCTTTCCACCTTCCCCTCCTCTGTTCAGTGACGTAGCCCAAGCTCGCATTTTGCGTCCACTGCAGTTACAATGCATGCCAACATAGGGCAACTGAGAACAGTTAACTTAATATTTACTAATTATAGCCGATTTGTGCCATTTTATATTACGAGCTGCTTTATTGATATTAGCTTGAAGGGAAGGAGATTTTACGTCATACTAACTTTTTAACCCTTCCTGCAGATACATATTGTTGGCATAAATGTTTCTTTATTTAATGTTAATTCATATTTTTAAACACGCTAATTTTGCTTTGTATTCATCCAGTTTGTTGAACCTATAGGAAGTCATTTTCAGGTGATTTCCCCCCCCCCCCTTGCGACGGGCTGATCACTCGTCTAAGGAGTCGTACCAAATGTCTAAATAGATCAAGTAACCTTAAAAAAAGAGGCGGCGACCAAGACCCACACTGGGTTGTAGAGCCAGAGATAGGATGAGATTCTCCGTCCCCACCCCTTCTCAATTTCCCAAGTCCCATGAAACATGGAAATTTCCTTCCTGGTGTGTTAACCCGCGATTGAAAATGTAGGGAGATAATGGTTTGAACAGAATTTAAAACGAATGGTCGCACGCTTTCCTGATAGAACAGCTTTCTACAATAATAATCTTTATTTTGGGTCATTGAGGTCATTTTTCTGTACTATTCAATATTGCGAGAAAAATATTTCTGTTGGCAAAAGCTCAGATCTCAGTCGAGAGACCGGCTATCCTTGCTGAGATTTTCTAGACTTTCCTCAGTCCATCCGAGACAGTTTTGGGATTGTACTTAGTTTATGTAACGAAAACTTCGTTCCACACCGTTAAATCAACTGTTCACTAAACCCCCCCCCCCCCCCAAATTCTGTGTTATTTAGTGTGAGATATTCATATCATCGTTAAATAAAACACAAATAAGTACACCAGGAAAACTACAAATGGTTATGAGTAGGTTTACAATACTTTAGTTCACGAATTTCGTTGGGATCAAAAGGCATACACCAATTTTTCACCCAAGCGTGGGTCTAGTGTGCTTCGACACTGGGACACTGGGTTCGAATCCCACTTGAGGCGTCTTTCTGTATTGTGCTGTCCTGTGTACAGGTAGAGGCCTTGCGACGGGTTGATGTCCTACCAAATGTCTAATAGATTAAGAGACCTCCAAAAGAGGTTGCCAAGACCCACACTGCGTTGTAGAGCCACAGAAAAAAATGTTTCTAATAATGAGCTGTGGAAGATGCGGTAGGAAGAGGTAGTCTGTAGTCTATGTTACTGTTCCAAATGCATTGTACTCCAGTAGTGCCCTGAATGTAGTTGCAGGTGAGGAGCACAGCGTAGCTGTTCAGACACACCCCACTCCCAGCGGACGGTAAGAGCTATCAAACAGGCAGCAAACTAGCCGATGTTTGAGATACGTTTCCGGCACCTTCCAAACACGAAGTGGTGCAAACCACCCTCGGCAGACGAATTTTAAATTCTGTCATGAGTCTGTGTGCTTGTTGGTTGAATTGTTGGGAGGCTGTCATAATTTTAGCGGAATGGACGCCAACTTATGAACTTGGTATAGTGATAACGTTCAAAAGTTGTACTTAGGAATGTACCAGATTGGTATCTCTGTTTTAGGAGTTTCGTGATTCTCCTCAGTCTCTTTAGAATGCTGGAATAATTCCTTGAAATGAGTAAATGCTGTCTCCTTCCAAATCCTACCCCACCTACCATTAATTTCAAAAGGTTCTGAGTGATGTTTTTAGTTGAAATTGAAAAAAAGTTTCATACCAAACTTAAGAATTATACCATGTTGAGTAAAGATGGAAACCCAGCACAGAACGGGGAAAAAAGTGAAAGTTGTCTGTTAATTTGTTTTGACTTAACTGCTGAGGTTATGTTGCCCCGGATTAGGTATGGTTCATTGAATGCGATTCATGAAAGGGGGTAAATATGAGGGAAAGTGGTATTTGGCTATTCCAGGCAATTTCTGCCATTCTCCTGGAGGAAATAAGAATAAGTCAAATCGACTGGTGAACAAGGTGAATACTTTGTCATGAATAATACAACTTTTATGTATTGACATACAGACCATGTATATTTTTGAGATATACTACGGGTTAAACAGCTTATAAATTCGATCTATAAATACACGTAGGCATTAAATAAAATGACACAGGGTTTAACACATATACAATACTGTTGTATATTTTACAAATTCTGAATTGTTAAATATTAAGTACGTAACTTATATGGATGCAACAAAGTACTTGCGGTTCCGCGAGTTTGAGTTTATTCTGAATCGCACACGAGAAGTACAGAATGTTCCATTTGAAACGCAACCCAACAACAATCACGTACTACGATGTAAACAAAAGTCCCCCCCCCTGTAATAGACTCTCCCATCCTCACCCGTGACACTGGAGTCAAGGTCATCCATGTTGCTAGGCCACTGCTCACGCCAGTTGCTCAAGAACTGTGCAAGTGCGATGATGGTATATTTAGAAGCAGAACGTGTGTTCATTCTCGAACATTACTTGACATCAAAACCACTTACTGCCGTGAATAATTTCTTCTGCATTCGTCGAAGACTGGCACGTGGTACGCAGTGTTTCGAAGGAGAATTATGGGACTGTTGTTTTATGAGGAGACAAAGCAGAATGGTATAAATTCTTCTGACTCAATTCATTTCTCTGTTGGAAGAAAATTAAAGTGATTGTTAATTTCAACATGACAGCGACTGCCCACACTAAGAACAAAACTGTTGTACTGCAAGAATTATTTGGTGAGCGCACTGTTAGCCGTGATCTTTGACCACCGCGATCTCCGGACCGTATCCCGCCAGACTCCTTGTTGTGGGGATTTCTCAAACAGAATTTTCTCTAATAACCAGGTATGACTGAGGAAATGAAAAAGAATACTGAACATACCGTTGCCCAAACTGACCAAGAAACATTTAGCTAAGTCGCAAGAAATGCATTCAAAAGGGTGGATGCTTGTCTTCGAATTTGTGTGGACGTTATCAGCTTTCTAGACTCGTTTTGCGAGTTCTTCCTTACAAGTAAAACTTAAAAGCAACCCGTTTTCCTTTTTACATTCATATCACTAAAGCTTAGATACGCTGCTGTACTTGTGGTTGCATTTCGAATGGAATATTCTGTACTTTTACAATATTTGTGACGTACACTATTTACCATTAACATCGATATTATCTGATGTGCTTAAAACTATTAATTATATATAATCAGCCAATATTAAATTAGAACATAATTTATAATACTGTGATCAGATCTTTAAAATGAACTTTACATTTGATAATTTATTTAATAAATATGTACCGCTTCACCATTTTCTCTTATCGTGTGTTTTTATATCATTCGGCCAGTTTATTGCGACATTTTCAAGGCCCGATTACACTTAACGAACAAGATATTGTTGCTGAATATTTACACATATCTTCACTGTTTCACTCAGCATCACAAATATCATCGGCGCTATGTAATTTCATTGAGTAATGCGGTGCTAGTAAACAATTAAAATACGTCTGAGCGAAAATAAAATTATCTTTTATGAGCCAGTATTTCGCAACACTAAATCTTCCTATTATTTCCTTGTGTCTCTTATCCCATCCACGCTGGGCGTCAATGGCTTCTATTTGAATTAATTAGTCTTAAAAATTCGAAGCTTCGTTATCACTGTGTTCTATTAAGTTTGTACAAACTGGAAAATATTTTGATCATCATGGAAATTTACAGTAGCTGCAAAATATTATTAATTTTCAGTTCGCTCAATCTATGAAGCCAACTGATAATATGACGATTTTTTATATGAATCAATGACTTTGTTTGTTGAGTATAAAAATGAAATTACGTGAAATAAATGGCAAAAAATCACAATTTACATAGACGTATACCACCTGTTTTGACGTTAATGAACCCATATTTTCAATCTGTCCTCGGAATGGGCTTTATTTTATTCACGGGATAACAGTGATTATATTCCTAAATAAAAACCACGTGATATCTGTGACGCATATGTGGCGTGTTTCCGTATAGACAGGAGCCAGTTAAAATACATTTTATCATGATTTGAAGGATAAATATCGCCAAGAAGCAATTGCCACCACTGTTTCTTTCGCTTCCGGAGTTCAAGTGTTTTTGCGGTTTACGTGGCAGTGCAGTCTATACCACACGGTTGTAGGCCCACAATGGCGTATGTGTCCCACTGGTGCTAGGAGAGCCTGAAGCCCGATAGCTTCCCGCCCGGGCAGCTGTAGATGCGTTCTGACTCGGGTAATACGCCCAGAAAGTAACGCTCCAGGGCCTGCAACTGTGCCACCCCGTGGCCAATACCGCGGAAAGCAAGGGTGGCGTCGCGCCCTGCATACTCCAACAAAATTTCCTCGCCTCCTGGGTGCTGTGGACAGAAGATGACAAATATCATCGCGCTGGAATCAACCGGTACTGTTCGACAATACCGTTGAGAGTGTCGAAGAATTATTACTATTCGCGGCGTAGTGGTTAGAACCCTTGCTTGTGATTCGGAAGGTCCTAGGATGAAATCCAGGCCAGGAAACCATCTGGCATGATGCATTCTTTACGATATTTACCAGTCCTGCAGTTTAATGTGAGGGCAGTATCTGCTTACCAAGCAGGATGGTGGTAAACTTGTATCAGAACGATTACTGTCTCCTGGGTTGTTGCGCCATGTGGTCTGGTAGAAGTTCACCGCGTTTCTGAGGTGCTTGCTGCCTCCATCATCAGGGCAGTTAGTGGGCAGTGTGTACCTCTGAAACGTTGGTAAACTTCTGTCAGTTTACACAGCGCAAAAATCTAGAGAACAGTAATCTTCATACTCACCGCCTTGGGAACCTGACATCTCCCTTGTATCAGAAAGGTGATCGGTTCGGATATCGGTCGAGTTTTCGGCTATGTTGACAGATTTTGGTTAGAATTAGGCAACTCGTCAACGACACTGACCTCTAGGAGGAAGTCTGTAATTTCGTAGACCCGGTCGTAGATGACGACCCAGCAGTCCGAGCAGTGGTCGTGCCATGATACTTGGTCCAACGAGATGGTGGGCGGGTTACTGCCTGCCTCCTTTTGCAGTGGAACGCGAGGCGTCGGGTCACTGAGTCGCAGCGCCGTGACGGTGAGGCAAAGGGCGTCTCCAGCCAGAGACAGCAGTTCCGCCTAAAATGAACAATGCAGATGAACGCTACTAGTGGGCAACTTCAACAAGTTCTTTCAATGTCGAATCGAAACTTCAAGAATGTTACGTCAGCATTTAAAACTGGCGTGAGTGGAGTGAGATTTTAGGTTCTCTGACAGACATTTCAGAGGTGAGTACTGCCCGTATCATCAGGGCGGAGGCAGTAGGCTTCTCTGAAACGTCGGCTAACTTCTACGAGACCATACGACGCAATATACCAGAAGGTTCTCATCCTCAAAAGCGAATATGAAAATATAAGGATCTTCTCCAAGACATATCAAGTAAATTAGATGTTCAGCGATATCGGTACATTGGTGTTACCAACAGACGAATACGTTTGTTTCAGCTCCTAAGAGTTTAGTGTTATAGAAAAATTGACATAATTAATCTGGATTATAAGTTGTAGGTGAGTATGAAGATGCCTCTCTTCTGGTTGTAGCGGTGTATGGTCATGGGTGTGATGATGGAGGCAGTAATGACCCCTGAAACGTTGGTAAAGTTCTACCAGACTACACGGTGCTACAACCCAGAAGACAATCGTTTTTACGCTAGAAGCTGTCAAGCAAACACGGTTTTGAATCAGAGCCAGTACACATAAATGTACTGTGCGCTTATGCTACTTCTTTTCTCACCTTCTGTTCAACGGTTGCTTTGACGACTGCCAGCGCCGCTGACGTGTCATCGTCCGTTGCTAATGGACTGATCATAATACCCGCTGGTGTGTGTGCGGATGCGGAACTCGATCTCTGAAATTACACGAAACTGATCTATTAAATTTCTGCGGATTTGGCGATATTCTAGAACAAGTTTCTTCTAATTTATTCCCGTCCCCCGGCAATGCAGTCTCTCTTTGTTTCGTGGCAGTCTGTAATTTGAACTGCCGGAACCAGCTTTCTTCCGAGATAATGTCTTCTGTCTTGTGTTTTGGAGGTTCGCTTCTCATTTCGAATACAGAGTGAAAATATAACACACATTTTGTGGAACGGAACAAAACAGATTTACTAGTACAGTGGAACCTCGATATACCGTGCCTCGTTATACCGCGGCTATGATCATGTATACTAGGTTCCAGCGTTTTTGGCCGCTGAACTTTGTGAATTGGAACCCGGAGCGAGTCACTTACCAGAAGTTTGCTGGAAGGGATGGCAGCAGGTCGCGTACAGCACACTCCAAATAAAATATCACCACGATATGTAACATAGGAAAGTCGATTTCGCTACACTACACATTACTAGAAAATTAACACTGCAGAGAATATTAGATAATTTTATCTTCTTCACAACTCTTCCAATTCTTTCACTCCTGACATATCACTCGATTCATCACTGCCGCTGGTGCTGTCCACTCCATTATCTTCAATTATAATACGTTCAATAGCGTCTTCGATTATGCCTTCTTGCTCATAATAAATTTCTTCTAGTCCACATGCTGACATTCATTATCTCATTCCTCTTGTCCAATTTCTGGCGACACAGATGCTCGACGACCTTAATTTTAAATGTTGTGTTCGTGCTTGCAACCAATTGTTTTACACCCGCCCAAATAAGTTCAACGGGGTTTAAATCGGGATGGTACGGCGGAAGTCTCAGCACAGTACGTTCTATGTCTGCCAAACTCTGATCAATGAAATAATATTTGTGCTTTGACTTATTTAATTTGATTAAATCGTACAGTTGAGCTTTCAACACGTTGTTACAAAATGGGATGTTTATTTCCAATAGCGAGGCTTTCATTGCGTCCTTCTTTGATTAAGACCTCGGTGGTTTGTCTGTCTGAGTGTTGTGATACGAGGCGTAATCAGTGACCAGAAAGGAGCTTGCAACGAACAGGTGGCATGTTGTTAACACAGCACAGTCACAAGACAACAATTATCAGGCTTCCACACTGCTGCACTGACACAGACTGTACTGACTGACGAAAACTCCTTCCTTCCGTCATTGAGTGGTCCGCATACTGGGCTTTCCTTACAAGGTCAGCGGCCATAAACGCTGGATCGAGTTCTACCCCAATACGATTACGTATTTTTTACGTCGTACAAATTTCTATTAAATGTTTTGGTTAATTATAAGACTGCATTGCAACATTCCTTGCTGTAGTGTGGGGGTACAGTGGGTAAAGTCCATAGTGAGCTATAAATAGGTATGTTTCTGGTTTCTCTAACCTTGATGTTGTTTTATTCAAACAGCAAAATTTAGTGAGCACTACTTTTGGTTGAGACAGGAAGAGTTTCATTGCTCTGATGCTAATTCTTTTACCTGCTCGAATACTGATGGTTGGAGAGGGAAGTTCCAAAAACTACTTGCACCACATTTTAGGTTTACTAACCGTTTATTGGGAAGTGAGTAGTGCTACAGTAAAAATATTCGTTAAATAGACTAAGAAAAAGCAGTTACGGTGATGACGACCAAAAGAAAAAATT